GCGCCTCCGCCCCTTTCTCTCCCTCTTCCCACCGTTCCGGCTCGGTGGGCTGGACGAGTAATCCGGAGGAGGCCGGGAGCCATGCCATCGGGGCTCCGGAGGAATCCCCCCCCTGCGACGGACCGCCGGATCGCAGACCAGGCAACCCGCGCCCTCGGATGCTCCAGGTTCAGATCCTGCCAGGATCGTCTGTAAGGGAAGCCAAACGGGGGGCAAAAAGAAAAAGAAATCAGGAAAGGGACGGCACCTTTTCTGATACAACGTTGATCCAAGGGCAGCAGCTTTTGAAAATTACAGCTCGTTTCATTGCGGGCACAGCGTGGCTGAACTCATGTAGGATTTAAACCGGGTTGAGGTGGGGGGAAGGCAAATGTGCCGATTATTATTACTGCTTTGTCCTTATTTTGAGAGACAAACGTGTCTCCCTTCGTCCTTTCATGCAAAGCTTGCCCCGTTGGTCCTGCGCAGGACGCAGAAGGGGGCTTGGGGGCCGAGGATGCCATCCGGCACATTAGGTGGGAGGAAAAGCAGGTGAAGGCACCTCTGATCGTGGGGGTCCTTCTTGGGGGTCCTGTGAGGGTGCTGCTGCCGTAGATGGGGGGCACCGTGGGCATCTGGCAGTGCCTCGTCCCCACGTTAGCATCCTCCTCCTGGTGTGGCTTGTTGCTTGTGAGAATCAGGTTGGGTCTTGAACACGCTACCCACCCTGACAACCGACCCCACAACTATTTATGTATTCATTTATTTATTAGATTTATCTCTGCCCATCTCCCTGTGATGGGGGACTCCAAAAATACCCCGTGCGGCTGCGTTCTGGACCAGCTGAAGCTTCTGGATACTCTTCAAGGGTAGCCCCCCGTAGAGCGCAATGCAGTAGTCTATATCTATTAACTATCAATTGTTAATAATGATCTGCCTTGCATTTAATCTGCACCTGCTCACCCAGCCCGTCTTCCCCTCCTTGCCAAATATTTCTGCGTCTTAGCACGGCCCTGCCACCCTGCTCTGCCCCTGATCTTTTCCGACTCCACGGGCCTTGCAGAGGAGAGTAGCCTCTTCTGCAGGCAGACGTTCGTTTTTCATGCCCTGCTAGGCTTGGAATGAAGACGGTGGTGGCGCATTGGTGATCTATTGGTTTATTACTTAAAGCATAAAAAAGTCCCATGCTTTTGCTGAGAAAGGCCCCTAAACTAGCTGCAACTATTAGCCACGTGAGGAAGAGAGATAGTATATCATCTAAAAGACCCAGCATGCAAGGAAAAAAGACTGGGGAGGGAGGAAGAAAAAAAAAACACTTAACTTCCCATCAGTGCATTGTTCTCAACCCACCTGTTCTTAAAGCGATTGTTTTTAATCACAGCAAATCAGGCCTAGAAACAGTTTTAAAAGCTTTGTTTTATATGTGGTTGTCTGATGTGTCTTGGTCTTGAAACTCAGGAACTTGTAAAACCAAGTTTGTTCTAGTGGTGTTCTAGTGGTTCCCATTTAAACACTGTAGGAGGAGAGCAGTAGCAAAAAATCAGGAGTCCGGCGGCACATTTCCCGACCGGCAAATTTTATTAAAAGGCAGACGCTCTCCTGAGATGCAGCTCGTGAACTTGTAAAATAGAATTTAACAAAAGCATCTTAATAAAATGCATTAGTCGCAGAAGGGGCTGCCGGACTCCAGTGACTTTTGAATAGTAGGTTTCCTGTCCTGGCCCAGGAGGGAATGTAATTAATCGAGAAATGATTAATCCAACAATGGTAGCGGGAGAAGCAGGAATTCCGCCGAATCGAGACGTTTGCAGGGCGAGCGCGCCCTCCTTCCAAACGACCTGAAAGGGCTGGGAAGGGCGGGACGCGGGACCAGGTTTAACGCTGCAGGTGGCCAGAGGTGCCGATAATAATCCCTCGAAAAGATTATTTCCTTGATTTGTGCCTTTTTAGGAAGTTTACTTCGTTGTTTTGGCCGCGTAGGAAGGCTAAGTGGGGTAAGGGCCCCGGGAAAATGAAAAAAATTAAGGAACTGAGATTGGCTCTTTGGTGCTTCTTTGGAGCAAAACAGGATCTACAGCAGTTTCTCAACCTGATGCGTGGACTTCACCTCCCAGAATTCCCCAGCCAGCCATGCTGGCTGGGGGATTCTGGGAGGTGA